GAGGTCCTGATTTAGGAAAAAAAAAATGGAAAATTTTGAGTGAGTAATCTAAGAGGTAATTTCATAGCATATTTCCTCTTTTGGTTTTTACTTTTTACAGAACAGATCACTTTTCCATTTACTTCACAATTTGTTGTAATATCTTGAGGTTGCCCTAATTTTCAATTACAGAAAGGAATAATTTACTTTGGCCACAAGAAAAAAATTGCAATAGGAAAATATAAGGTTACTACTCTCTATAGCTATCCATGTCTAGGAGAGTAAATCTATATTGTCATGCATCAGATCATAGTCGGTACTGTTACAAGCATTTCTCGTCAAACAGAGAGCTGTATCAGCTCATGGATTATATCAATGCATTTTACTTTTCAGGGTCAGCTCAGAATCATTATCAGCTTACAAATAACATATACAATGATTTAAGATGTATGTACAATGGGCTTGTGCACATGTAAGCCATCTCAACCTTTCTACCTTCTTCAAACTTTGCAAGTCTGTCATCGTTTTCTGAAAACACTGGAATGTTTAATCTCCATTCGTTGCACCTATGAATCTCTGTGCTTAGAAACATCGAGAGATGGAATACTGACTGTAAACGCTTGTTCGGGGACTCAAGACGGTTAAAACACTATTCTTTCTGTTTATTGCAAAACAATTTGATGTAACAATGATCCCAACAGAAATCGTTGCCATATAATATTACAGGAGTTTTCTAAGCCTGACCTGCTTGTTATTTCTCTGGCGGCCTGACTAGGTCCAAGAGCTCAAGTCGAGATCTCTCCCTTGCTTATTATTCACAAGCAAACGTATAAATCCCCTATGTATTACCAGTAATCTCCACAAGAACACACTCCATTCTTGAACCGATGAAACCGGTTCACATCTCTAACCAAAATTTCTTTTTCCATGAATTTCGAGATGAACTTAGTAAACAAGTGACAGTCCTCGCACAAACGCAAGTTCTTCGTGATCCTGATCGGTTCTCCTTTTGCTGTATTTATCAGCCCAAACGCCAACGCCAGTTTCTCACTGTGTCCCAACACTATCCGCTCTTTCTCTTCCGTCCCAAGCTCATACAGAACGCCTTTGGTCTGCGGTATGTACCCTCTCTCCTTCATATCTTCAGCTAACTTAACCAAGAAAGCATGAATCTGTTCCATAAGAGGGTTGAACTCATCCACCGAGACAAACGAGTACATTTTCCTCCTCACTTCCATCCAGCACCGACCAGGTAGTTTCTGCAGTCCTCGGTATTCTAGAAGCTTCTTCACTTTCTTGACCTTATCCCACATCTGAGCTTCTGCGTAAATGTCTGCCAATAGCACATAGTTTCCTGCGTTCTTCGGTTCTAGCGCAAAGAGCCTTCTACTCGCTCGCTCTGCGAGCTCAACATTACCATGAATTCTACAAGACCCGAGAAGCGAACCCCAAACCTTAGGCCCCGGTTCAGTCCTCATCTCTTGTACCATCTTTGCAGCTTCGTCTAACCTATTCGCCCGACCTAGCAGATCAACCATACAAGCATAATGCTCGACTTGTGGTTTTATCCCATGGTCTCTCCACATTGATTCAAACAATCTTTTTCCTTCCTCAACAAGGCCCTCGTGGCTGCAAGCTCCCAACACGCTGACAAATGTTACAGGTGTTGGGGAAGCTCCATTGGCAAGCATCTCTTCGAATATCTGAATCGCTTTCCTTCCGTACCCGTGAACGCCATAGCTTGATATCAAAGAATTCCAGGATACAACATCCCGCTCATCCATCTGATCAAATACTCTTTGTCCCACTTCAAGCCTACCACATCTACCATACATTGTCACAAGAGCACTGATCACCGGCAATATGGAGTCAAGCCCCCGTCTGAGTATGTACCCATGAATCAATCTCCCTTGCTCTAAAGCGGCTAGCGAAGCACAGGCTTGAAGCACACTCACCATAGTCACAGAATTCGGGGATGAATCTTTGGTTTCTGTCATCATTTCACGGAAAGTCCTCAGAGCTTCAAAAGCTTTCCCGTTCTTAGTGTAGCAGGCAATCATTGCGCTCCAAGAAACCACATTTCTAACAGGCATTCCATGGAACACATGGCTGGCATAATCCACACAGCCAAATCGAGCATACATGTCCAACAACGTAGTCATAATGTAAACATGTGAATTGTATCCGTTTCGGGTAATATGTGCGTGAATCTCTTTCCCTTTAGTCAGATGATTCCCCGTGCATTCCGATGCGACACAAGCCTTGAGAACGTAAGTGTATGTGAACCTATCTGATTGGACTCCAATCCTATTCATCTTCCAGTACAAACCCAATACTTCTTCTCCATAACCAGCTAATGTAAGCGCTCGGAACAAAGCATTCCACACATATATAGTTCTCTTACGCGTTTTATCGAACACCTTCCGTGCGTAATCAACCGAGCCTAAATCCGAATACATACCGATAAGCTTGGTAGCCAAAAAAGGGTCTTGATCAGACCCATTATCCAGAATATGCCGATGGACGCGTAGAGCATCAGAAAGAGAGCTCCGACGACCGCAACAGAGAATTAGAAGCTCGAAGGTCCGTTGACACGGGCTGGATTCCTGAGACAAGACTCGAAGGGCCTGTTTAAGGTTACCCTCTTTGCACAATGATTGAATTAGCTGATTATTAGATATTTTAGTTCCGGCGGCGGAGGCTGTGGAAGGATTGTTTAAGGCAACGGAGCACGACGGTGGGCTCGGAGAAGAGCGAGGTAAGAAGTTAACGGTATAATAAGTGGGTTGTATTGCTTGAGGAGGGTGAGATAGAAACATTTTCCGGTGACTAAGCTTTCTCCGTTCTGTTTCCCGGCAAATTCCGAAAGGAAAAACATAAAAATTCGCGGCTTCTCTATCAAATCTGGTTTGATACAAAGATGCGAACTTGCCGATGCCACTAGTTTCTCTGCTACTTCCATCGTTGGTTTCCACGTGGTAACAAAATGCGCCTCTCAATGAAACTGGGCCCAATTGGGACCAGGCCCATATCTGGATAGTTTTGGGCCGGAATTAGTACTCTCGATCAAGTGAGAAGATTCTTCTTCTTAAGCAAGTGATAAGAGAAGTCTCCAACAACACATGAGACATGTAGAGTGATCCCACAACGATCGCATGTATAGAACCATTTTTTTTTGGATCTACTTTTGTTACACACACATCACACCAATGCTCATCATCTACATTAGCGTCACCATACGATAAAACAAAAGGATGAAATATTACCGGTAATACGGTAAAAAAGAGCACTTGGTTTCAAATGGAACCAAGAAACCAGCTATACGGATTTTTCTTGCTCAGATCCTGCAGGCTTCTCATTAGTGTTTGTTTCATTTTAAAGATTCCAGTGAGACAGAGAAGAAGAGGAAAACTACAATTATTGCTATCAGAATCAATACACCGAAGCTTCCCTCGGTGTCTCCGACACAAGATGTAAGGTATATATACAAGAGGCGATTTTGTATCTCAACATGTGAAGGAGTAAAAAAAAGAAGAAGAGGGAAACTTTGACTTGAAGAAAGATGATAACATGTAAAAAAAAGTGGTAGAGTCGACTGATCTGATAACCATGTAAACATATGTTGTTGCCCTTCCAGCTCCTGAGAACTCTCATGGAGCTTCCAAATTATAAACCCTCCGCATTTGTTGTCGCCTTTTCTACTCTCTTTAGGTTTATCTCGGGTAATGAAGAGCTACAAATGCATGAGAGGAAATTAGTTTTTTTTAGTTAACGAAACCGTGAGCTTTTTAGATGTTAAACACTAACAATTCCGAGTTCAGAGACGGAGAGTTCATGACTTGAAAAAACACGAAACACGGAAGTTTCTACACACTCTAAAAAGAAGCTCTATGTACATCAATTGACTCACTATAACTCAAATTTTAGAAACATGAGATGCGATGAATCCTAGCCATGGACTTAGTATGAGATGTTATAAGTTTAACTACATTACTGTAGATGAAACCGATATAGCAATCACAAATTCTGAAACAAAGAGGAAGTTCCACAGTTTATAGACACACTCATATACATACCTCTTTCTCTCTCTTCAGAAGAACCGTGACCTCCGATCTGCAGGCTTGAGAATTTGGAAAGAGCACATTAAACTTTCATCGACACTCATCATTGCACCCGCATTGTCAAACTCACCACAGTAGTTTGGAGCAGAAAATATAGTCACAAGCTGTCTATCAGCAAAGAACTCATACCCATCCTCTACAACCTGTGGGAACATTATAGTTTCTTACACAGCAGATCCAAATACTAAACCATAGAATAGAAGAGACATGTATATAACGTAACTAACCTGGTGGGCACGACAGACTAAATCCATATCGTTTTTTATTAGAAACTCAGCGACTTTGTCAGCACCAAAAGTGTAAGAGACTCCGCGATCATTTATCCCCCAGCCTTTGACGTCTTTACTAGGATCAGACCAAAGAAGGTCACAGAGCAAACCAGAGTCTGGAACATCGGCTGGACGCTCTATGTTCTTAATCTGTTCCACATTGTTCAAATCGGGAGAAAGTCCACCGTGCATACAAAGTATCTTTTCGTCTATGACAGCAGCCACAGGGAGACAGTTAAAAGCGTCTGTAAATACTTTCCAGAGCTTCACGCTAAATCTTCGTTTACATTCATCATAGAATCCATAGATTCTGTTAATAGATGCACATTCATGGTTTCCCCTTAAGAGAAAAAAGTTTTCAGGGTATTTGATCTTGTAGGCAAGCAGAAGACAAATAGTCTCCAAACTCTGCTTCCCACGGTCAACGTAATCTCCTAAGAATAAGTAGTTTGCTGCAGGAGGGAAACCTCCATACTCAAAAAGCCTCAATAAATCTGAGTATTGACCGTGAATATCACCTGAAACAACACAAATACAAAGAAAAATGTTACACATCAACCTAGGAATCCGAGGAACCATAATCAACATGTTGGAAGGAAACAAAGAAAGCAAATCAAAGAGTTGCTATCTTAGAACAAAGATCAAAAAGAACTTTCTTCTTCTCACTGTACAAACTCTATTACCATTCTTATGAATATTTGGATTTTCTCAGGAAGATTCCAAAACTCCAAGAACAGGGCTAAGCCCAACAAAAACATCCATCATTAAGTGACAACAATTGGTGAAAAAAGAAAGATCATTCCTTCGGGTTCAAGAACAAACTTCTCCCATTACTTAGTATTCTTCAACCTCATAAGGTCACACAGCAATATAAGGATCTCTGTGTCCTCTTTACTTCTCTTTCTTTTAAAATAAGTTGCTGCAATCAAACTATGCATTTTTCATCCCTCTTATCCATTCTACATTCCCACAAAACTAGACTCATCGCCAAGAAAAAATTGCTAACACAAGCTAAAAATGCAAACTTTTTTTCAGAAAAAAACAAAACAGGAAAAACGCAATCAAACACACAATAATCAAAATATCATCAGATCCCAAATCGAGCAAACAGCCAAAAAGAAGAAGCAAGAAGCTGGAAAATCGGAGAGAGATTATAAATACCGCAGATCTTGACGGGGGCATCGAGCTCAAGGAGACTGGGCTGTTGAAGAAATATCTCTTTAGAGACGACGCAAAGCTGTCGGATCTCAGACTCGTTGAGCATAGGCTGCTTTGTCCCAGGCTTAGGACTTTTGTAATCCAATAACCGTCGAATGATGTCGTCGAGAGCAGCAGGGTCCATGCTTCCCTGCCCTTGTTGCGCCATTCACATTCACATTCACTACCAACCTCGACGGTATAAATCTTCCAAGTTTCAATCTTTCGGACAGGATTCTATCGCCCAGAAAGACCCCAGAAAAAAAAGAGAACAAATTTCAAAATCTGAATCAAAAAGTTGTCGCCTTTCTAATGGTCTCTTCCAGTTTCATGATGCGTTTATCGAATATGATTTGGCAATCTCTGGGTTATTTCCTTAGGCAGGGACCAAAAATCTATTATTCTAAAGTCAATACACCAAAATAGTTACGGATATTTTTCAAACAAAATAAATTAACTTCGGTTATTTTTCAAAAAATTTCCTCATTTCTTTCCCGTATCTTCAAAATAAACTTCTCAAATTATATATTATATTAATTTTAGAATAAATAAATTTAAGACAAAAAAGAAACAAAATTGTTTAGTTAAAGGCAATAACTAAACAATTTAACT